TAGGAATCTGGTATTGTCCCTGGAAAAGCGGGATACTTGGAAGGTCTGCAAAGGCCCTGGCGAGTTACAGCTTAATAAATGAATCACTGTAACAACATTACAGCAATAAATCCATTAACAGATGAACAACAATAAGCTTATTTCCAAAAGCCTGGCTAAAAAGGTGTGCCTTTCCATGGCTTCTGAAAATCATTAAACTTGGGGACACCACCAAGACCAGCCCATCTAGATCAGCTCTGAGCAACTGAGGCTGAAGAGGACCCTATTCACGATGAGGTTGTTTGTGTGAGAATCCTACTACCCTCGACTGAAATCCAAAGCTTAATTTGGCAAGATATTCTAATGGCCCATGTTTAAGATATCTCATCTGCTTTCCATCAATAATCTGCTGTGCCTGTAGTGGTACTGAGGGACAAGTCCCCTTGGGAACAGAAGAGAGCAAAAATGCAAATATAGACTGAAAGTGATCTCACAACACCAAGGCCTATTAACATTCCAACACTCGCCTTGTTATCTTGGCCCCATCAGGAAATATGATAAACAAGTACCAAGGAGCTTGCATATTACAATAGTGGCTGGTGTGTCTTGTGTCAGGTGGGGAGAAACTTGGCTGCAACCCAGAAATCAACCACAAATGGGCTGCACAAATTCTTTTTCGTTTTACTGAAAGGCATTGAACACGGCCTGGACTTTTCCCCCCCTGTTCCAATCCATTGGGTTAAAAATTCACCAATGGCTATTTACAAAATAGGCTTCATAATCCACTTGTGTATGATTATTACAGAGGAGACCTTTTTTTTTTAAAGCAAGGAAAAAAGCAATTAACTTTGAAGAATAGGCGGCAAAACATTTCCCTGATCTGCACTGTCAAATACTGCAAAACAGAATTCAGAAGTAGGTTGATTATCCTTCCTGTCATCAGAATCAGTTTCTTGCTGAGAGACAGCAGCGGAAACGACTGAAATGGTGATTAATTCGCTGTTACTCCTAGGTGCTGTCTACTTTTTCATGTATGGCACCACTGAAACTGAATTAAGCACAGAGAGGAACTGATGCTGGGCACCTCTGTGACAGGGAGGGGACACCGCTCAGTGGCAGGGGAAATAGGATCATAAAATTGTCAAGTTGGAAGTGTCCCCAAGGGTCATCTTGTAAGGAGCTCGTCCTACACTCGAGTAGGACCCTGGCAGAGACACATGCCCGACTGGCACGTTCTCTCCCTCCTGGTCGATTGTTCAGGAGCTTCAAAAGCTTTCTTCAGCCCGAACATTACAGCGATCAATGCCAACTGACACCGGCACACTTAGGGATCCACAGAGTCTTTGCAGCTTGCGTAACAAACCTCAGCAACTCAGCATTTTGGCTAATCTACTTTATTTACATATAAACACATACGGAGCACTGCAACATGGCTCCCTCTCTCTCTAGCATCAGACAGCAAAGAGAAAAAGAACAAAGGGCAATAGTCCCACTTCACGGAACACAGTGACACAAACATCCTGTCTCCATCACTTCCCACTCTGTGGAGTCAAAACATACACTGTCATCTGATAGACAAAAATCCCATGACTGCAATAACGGAGCAGAAATTCTAACACATCAATCCAACACTCTGCAATGCAGGAATCTCAACTAAAGTGTACATGACAAGTGGCCATCCAACCTCTGCTTAAAAACCTCCAAGGAAGGAGAGTTGATCAACTCCTGAAGAAGTCTGTTTCACCAGTGAACAGCTCCTACCATCAGAAAGTTCCTCCTGATGTTTAGCTGGAATCTCCTTTTTAGTAATCTGAATCCACTGATTCAGATCCGATCCTCTGGAAGCTGGCTCCATCTTCCATGTGGCAGCCCTTCAGATATTTGAAGATGGTTATCATATCAGTTCTTCTCTTCTCCAAGCTAAACATACCCAACTCCCTCAACCGTTCCTCATAAGGCTTGGTTTCCAGACCTTTGATCATCTTGGTCACCCTCCTCTGCACACGTTCCAGCTTGTCGATATCCTTCTTAAATTGTGGCGCCCAGAACTGGACACAGGACTCCAGGTGTGGTCTGACCAGTGCAGAATAGAGCAAGATGATGACTTCCCTTCACCAGCACTACACTTCTATTGGAGCAGCCCAGAATTGCATTAGTTTTGTTGCTGCTTCATCATACTGTTGACTCCTGTTAAGCTTGCGGTCTACATGACTGACGTGCAAAAAGTTTTAGGTTTGATTCTCTGTTGAAAGGATCTAATAGCAGGTAAAGGAAGAAGACAGTTTCCCTGAGATTCTATTGAGTTTGCATTTAAAAGCAAACCTACCCAATTCGCCCTTTCTGAAGCAATACATGAACCAAAACACCGCCGTCCTTGAAATTCACTCTTCTCTGAACTTTGCAGCACAATTCTCCACCCAAGCAAACATGCATTTTACTAGAGTAAAATGTGCATGAAAAATGCATGCAAAAAAAAGAGCCTTATTTCAGGGGAAACTGCATTGCAAAAATGTGTATGTTAGGCTAATCTGTGTGCAAAACATGCAGAAATCCACACTAAAAGGCTGGCAAATTTTCACGGGGCCTCTTTAAAAAATAATTTAAAAAAAGCTCACATACATGTGGAAATTGGAGAACCAACAGATTAGCCCATACCTAATGCTGACTTAGAGATGCGGGTGGCGCTGTGGGTTAAACCACAGAGCCTAGGACTTGCCGATCAGAAGGTCGGCGGTTTGAATCCCTGCCACGGGGTGAGCTCCTGCCAACCTAGCAGTTCGAAATAACGTCAAAGCGCAAGTAGATCAATAGGTACCACTCCAGCGGGAAGGTAAACGGCGTTTCCGTGCACTGCTCTGGTTCGCCAGAAGCGACTTAGTCATGCTGGCCACATGACCTGAAGCTGTACGCCGGCTCCCTCGGCCAATAAAGTGAGATGAGCGCCGCAACCCCAGAGTCATCTGCGACTGGAACTAACGGTCAGGGGTCCCTTTACCTTTAATGCTGACTTGGCTACTGGGAAAGAGGAACGGAGTGGAGTATCCTGGAAAAGAGCATGGCCGGCTGGCATCCTAAACAGGAACCCCGAACACTGCAGCATTTTGTCTCAGCCCCCCCTTGCACCTTATTAAACTCTGAATTATTTGCATTCTCAAACTCACAGCCATCTTCCCCGGTCGCTGGTGTGTAAGCCAAGAGGAGTATTTTTGGTCTGCTGTAGCACGTGGCAGCAGAACACCCTGTGACATCACTTCCAGAAGCATCCATCTCATTCAGGGGATGCCTCTATAGTCACCAGACATTCATCACGTCAGCTGGCAGCCTCCAAGGCTCCTTTCATTTCCCGAAGCAGGAGCTTCCCTTCATCGATCGTGCTGTGTCAGGCCAGGCGGGGGGCTGAGAGAATTGCTGACTGGCTGGAGCTAACTTCCACCACTCCACCCTCTCCCCTCACTCCCTGGAAATGTTGCTCGCAAATTAAAAACATAAAACATGGGTGGGATTCATCTACCTCCTGTGGGCTCGGGGGTCTCGCCTAATGCTCTGCTTGGGCTGCAGGTTTCGGCTTTGTTTTCTGGGTTTTTTAATTCTTCCTCCGTGGCTCCAAGGATTGTCTCAAAGAGCGAAGAGATGCGAGGATAAAACCAAACAAATCCAAACAGATCAACACTTCGGGGGTTGTTGCTGTTGTGCGAAGGAACAGCAAGAGTCCTAGGGCTGCCAATTGCTTTGTTTTGTAAAAAAACTAAGAGTTTTGCCTTTCCTCTCCTTTCTGGCAACGGCCCTGGTTGAATGCAGATGATATTTGTGAGGCGGTGATTTCGGGAGGCACTGGAATTCAGTAGCAGAACAGCTGCTGTGCTTGTAGAAGGACCAGGTGCGCAGCCTGGGAGTCATTTTGGACTCGCAGCTGTCCATGGAGGCGCAGGTTAATTCTGTGTCCAGGGCAGCTGTCTACCAGCTCCATCTGGTACGCAGGCTAAGACCCTACCTGCCCACGGACTGTCTAACCAGAGTGGTGCATGCTCTAGTTATCTCCCGCTTGGACTACTGCAACACGCTCTACATGGGGCTACCTTTGAAGGTGACCCAGAAACTGCAATTAATCCAGAATGCGGCAGCTAGACTGGTGACTGGGAGTGGCTGCCGGGACCACATAACACCAGTTCTGAGAGATCTGCATTGGCTCCCAGTACGTTTCCGAGCACAATTCAAAGTGTTGGTGCTGACCTTTAAAGCCCTAAACGGCCTCGGTCCAGTATACCTGAAGGAGCGTCTCCACCCCCATCATTCAGCCCGGACACTGAGATCCAGCGCTGAGGGCCTTCTGGCGGTTCCCTCATTGCGAGAAGTGAGGTTACAGGGAACCAGACAGACGGCCTTCTTGGTAGTGGCGCCCACCCTGTGGAACACCGTCCCTTCAGATGTGAAGGAAATAAGTAGCTATCCTATTTTTAAAAGACATCTGAAGGCAGCCCTGTTCAGGGATGTTTTTAATATTTAACGCTGTATTGTTTTTAATACTTGATTGGAAGCTGCCCAGAGTGGCTGGGGAAACTCAGCCAGATGGGCGGGGTATAAGTAAATTATTAATTATTATTATTATTATTATTATTATTACAAGATCCTTTCATCTGGCACCTTTATTATACAGCTTTTGGGCAAATACTGAAGAAGCACATCTTTACTCTGGCTTTCTGGCACTCAAGGTCCCACCTAATTTTAGGTCCCACCTTGTTTTTGTAATATTATGTTGTTTAAAACTGTTTTTAATGTTGTTTTTCAATGGTTGTAAACCGCCCTGGGGCCTTGGGGTGAAAGGTGGATTATAAATTGGAATACTGTTGCTATTATTCCTGGCATTTCTAGTTAAAATAGAATCAGTTTGCTGATGATAGGAGACCTGCTACCTGACACCCTGGAGAGTCGCTGACAGTCAGATTCGACAAAATTGTGCTTCGTTCAGCATTTCCCATCCTAGTGCTCTCTAGAAGTTTTGGAGTACGGCTCCCATCAGTCCTTAAGCTCAGTGACAGAACATCTGCTTTGCATGCAGAAGGTCCAAGTTTTGATCCCTGGCATCTCAAGGTAGGGCTGGATTGTTTCAGCACCTGGACTGATTATCTGTGCTTGGCCTTGGCTTGATTTGGACAGTCCTGCACCTTCATCCCAGACCTTATTGGTGCAAGTTTTGAGTAGGACTCATACAGCATCCCTGCGTTGGGATCCTATCCGCCAAGGGCACCAACTGGAACATGACATAAATGTCTCCTCTTTGTCACGCCGAAGGAAAGGGTGTGTCTGACACAGGGTGCGGGAAGCTTGAAATTAGGGATCTTAACTAAATTAAGTTCTGTGACCTAGAGCTGCATGGATCTCGTTGTACCTGCTTTGATGGAGCAACCTTGTCTGTGGAAGGGGCAGAACGTGTTGTTAACTCTGGCTAAATTCACCCATCAGCAGGTTTGGAAAGAGGGGTAATTAGGCACAGCTGGAGCATATGCTGGCACCTTCTTATACCTTAAGAACGTAAGACATGGGATTCAGGTTGATTAAGTGATGCAAGTTGATTAAGTGGGCATAAAATCAGGAACAATGAGCCTTTAAGAACATAAGGAAGCCTGATGGACTAGGCTAATGGTCTGTCTAGTCTAGCAGCCTGTTCTCACAGTGGCCAACAAAATGCCAGTGGAAAACCACAGCACTCTCACCTCCTAGAGTTTCCAGCAACTGATATTCAGAATCACTACCGCCTCCAAGAAAGAGATGGCCATGAACCATCTCTGGGTCATGGGTTCCTACATTGAACTAGATGACCCTTGTGGTCCCTTCCAGCTCTTATGATTCTAAAGTGACTGTGGATGTCCTAAATCGACTTTTATGCTCAAACTGAGATGGATACATTGTTAGTCATTGTATTTTAAATGTGAGCCAATATTCACTTTTTTATTTCTGCCTTGTTTTTCTTCCTCTCTTTTTGTTAAACTTGTTATTTTCTAAAACAAACCAACCCTTAACTGGAATATAAGGAGAGGCTTTGAGAGAAATCTGCACCAAAGTCCATCAAGCAAGGGTGGTGCTGCCTGGCTTAAGGTTTGGGGCACTGGCTCAGCTGAGCTGGGATTCAAGTTGATTAAGTGATGCAGGTTGATTAAGTGGGCAGAAGCAACAAGCACTTGAGAACATAAGGAATCCTGCTGGACCAAGCCAATGGCCCATCCAGCCTAGCAGTCTGTTCTCACCGTGGCCAACCAGAGGACTGTTGGAAAACTAGGAAACGATCCAACATGTGCGACTGGTGGCTTACCGCACAGTGAAGCTCTGCACAACGCCTGAGGTTGCTGACTCTTGCTCCAGCAGCTCTTGATATGCGACTTGTTTGGCTACAAGTGCAAATCACTCCGTCTGACTGAGGCTTCGCTAATCCAGAGAGGCTGAGCTGGCAGGTCTGGACCTTAGCAGTCTCCATAAACAAGCACGATGGTCGACCTCTCCCTCTAACTCCCCTCTAATTTCCTTCCATATCTATTTTAATGTTGGCATTCCAGGGGGCAGGAAATTGTTCCCTTGCTAAGGAAACATATCACTTTCCAAGCTTTTTTTTGCTACCGTTTTTTACTGGCGTAATAACATGCTGTCAAAAGCAAGCTGTTGTGGCCAAGGAGCAGATGTTTGACCACTGCTAAGGTGGCTACGTGCCTGCGCTTGAGCAGGAGAGGAGCAAAAAAACCAACAACCTATAAATGCAGTTCTCGCCTCTTATTGCATTTTCAGTGGGGAGGATGTTTTTAAAGAAAACAGGCTATTACATTGATGCATCAAGGTCAAGGGGTATGAAAAAGACTCCACCCTAGTGCCCTAAGTCAGACCACATTCATAATGAACATTTGAAGCACCACAACACCACATTAAAGGTAAAGGTAAAGGGACCCCTGACCATTAGGTCCAGTCGTGTCCGACTCTGGGGTTGCAGCCCTCATCTTGCTTTATTGGCCGAGGGAGCCGGCGTACAGCTTCCGGATCATGTGGCCAGCATGACTAAGCCGCTTCTGGCAAACCAGAGCAGCGCACGGAAACGCCGTTTACCTTCCTGCCGGAGTGGTACCTATTTATCTACTTGCACTTTGACGTGCTTTCGAGCTGCTAGGATGGCAGGAACAGGGACCGAGCAACGGGAGCTCACCCTGTCGTGGGGATTCGAACCACTGACCTTCTGATCGGCAAGTCCTAGGGTCTGTGGTTTAATCCACAGCGCCACCCGCGGTCCAACACCACTTTAAACCCGTGCAAATTAAACAGTCATGGCTATCGCCCATGCCAAAATTCTGAGAGATCCAGTTTGTGAAGGGGGCTGAGAGTTGTTAGGAGATCCCTATTCCCGTCCCAGAGCTACAGTTCCCAGAGTTCCCTGTAGTAGTAGTAGTAATAATAATAATAATAATAATTTATTATTTCTACCCCGACCATCTGGCTAGGTTTCCCCAGCCACTCTGGGCGGCTTCCAATGAAAGATTAAAAATGCATTAAAACATCAGTCATTAAAAACTTCCCTAAACAGGGCTGCCTTCAGATGTCTTCTAAATGTCATATGGTTGTTTATTTCTTTGACCTCTGATGGGAGGGCGTTCCACAGGGCGGGTGCCACTACCGAGAAGGCCCTCTGCCTGGTATTGTAAAGAGGTATTGATTGTTAGATCACTCTAGAGAAGACTATTTATGTACACAACCACTGCTGCTCTGATGTTACTAGCCCAGAGATGGATTGCCGATTAAGTTGATGGACTATGCTGAAACGGCAAAAATGACTGGAAGAATCAGAAATCAGGAAGACCAAAACTTTACTAAGGAATTGGGAAAATATATAAGTTACCTCAAAAATCATTGTAAACAATTAAAATATTAGTAGGATTGGAATAATACTTGTAGTTTAATGTTTAATGTTGTAGTTTAACACCTATCCTGCGGAACTCCTTGCCTATTGATATTGGCAGACATCTTTGTTGTCCTGTTTTAGACGCCTGCTGAAAACCAAACACATGCTTTAGTTACATTCCTCTTATGCTTCTTTTTAATTATGGTCTTATGCCTATTTGTTTTCAATTGGCTTGTGTGTTTTAGTTCTGCTTTATATATAATTGGATACTTCTCTTTTTTTTCTGAGCAAGCAGTTCAAACATTTTCTAAATAAATAAAGGTTGCATTCAGCAGGCAGAGTCATGTTTTCAGCCATGTGTCATAGTGGTGGGAGGCTGTAGACTTTGGTATGAGGAGAACAGCGTTGCAAGCATGTTCCTATTTTCATCTGTGACGAGTTGGAGGTTCTCCTACCTACATGATTTCTTAACCGCCTGGCCTCATCCCTTGCTGCCGGGCCTTTTGCTTGCTAACAGCAAGAGCAAAAATAGCACAAGCTGGCAAAGGAAGAGATCCCGTCAAATATAAGTTGGGAGGTCCCAACTGTCTCCCTTTCAACCTCAGCAGAAGTCCAACTCGAAACCTTTGCTAAAGCAAAGGAAACGCTCTAAAACTGAACACGGCCACTTCCTCCTCCTCCTCATTATTATTGGTTGCCGTATTTCAAAAAGTAAAAACCAGGACACCCTGAAAGTTGCTGAGCCAAAAAAACCACGACTTTTCAATTGACCTCTCTAGGGTCCAGGACAAAGCGCAGCCATATTATTATTATTACTACTACTACTACTACTACTACTACTACTACAATGTACTGACTTTTTCGCTCCATAAGACGCACCTTTTTCCTCCTAAAAAGTAAGGGGAAATGTCTGTGCGTCTTATGGAGAGAACGTGTGGTCGATCGCTGGCTTCCCTTTCCAGCCCAGGCCTCCATCATTGAATGTTCTGCAGACGGAGGCTGTTTGTTTCCCCAGCGACATGTGACTGGCTGATTAGATTATCTGTCTGGAAACTGTAGAAATGGCTCCCTTTCCTTTCCTAAAGAAGCTGCAGAACTGCGAGTTGAACCCCATAAAAACAGGATTTTTTCCCTTTGCAAAGTAAGCTCAACAACTTTGAGCTGATTCCCCCAAAAAACGGGGCTTTCCACGTTTCCTCCTCTAAAAACTAGGTGTGTCTTATGGAGCGAAAAATACGGTAATTTCCTGCCCTTGACCCTAAGGTCACAGGGTAGATTACAACAACTGAAAAACAGCATTCATCTCAAAACACAATATTAAAAACAGTTTTAAATAACATCAATTTGCAAAAATGAGGTGGGCCTTTATAATAGGCACCTCAAGTGTCAAAAGCCAGAGGTGCTACCATTACTCTGTGGAAGTGTACACGGACTGGTTGGATGCAGAGGAACCAGCTGGGGAACCACCAAGGGAAGAAGGCTCAGAGCCCGAGGAGTGGTGTTGGGACAACAGTGAGTGTTCAGAAGGAGAAGCGGGAGCAGACTGGGAGGAGGTGGTGTTGGGAGCTGAAGAGGTAACAGGGCTTAGTGAGCCGGGAGAGTCAGTGGCAGAGAGCAGTCCAGAAGCTGGAGCAGGAGAGGAGGGCAGGGGCAAGAGGCAGAGATGGGCCAGGCTAGTGAAGAGTCAGAGGTACCTTCTGCTGCTACAACAAGCTCCCCTCCTCCCTGGTCTGGAAACCACAGGAAGAGAGACTGCTCTTGTCCCACAGGCGGCTGTGAGAATAGGATGCTGGACTAGATGGGCCATTGGCCTGATCCAGCAGGGTTGTTCTTATGTCTTTATGGTGCTGATGACGCTGAGCTACTCAGTCTAATGTTGTTGAACTACAACTCCAATCACCCATAGCTAGCAAGGCCAGAGCTCAGGGATGATGGGAGTTGTAGTCCAACCACATCTGGGGACCCACAGGTTGAGAACCGCTGTCTCACGTGCCGTCCCAGTTTCCTGGTGCTTGTCATCCTCACAGAATTTCCTCCTGATCTTTCTCCTATTCATCAAAAAAACCCCGCCTTGCTTTCTTTTGACAACGAACCTCTCCACCTCCCTGAAACTTCTTCCAGGTGCTCCTCTGAACTTTTCATATTTATGGATTCAGCAAGAAACTGCAGCATTTTATTTTATTTTTAATTTGACAGTGGGACCCAGATCAGCCA